AAATATATCAAAACTTCATTTTTGATTAGTAATATGCATTGCTAAGGACTTCATTTGGACAACTTTAAAGGCGATTTTCTCAATATTTTGATTTTTTTGCACCCTCAGATTCCAGATTTTCATATAGTTGTATCTCAAATAGTTGTATCTCGGTCCTATCCTAACAAACCATACATCAGTGGAAAGCTTATTTATTCAGCTTTCAGATGATTTATAAATCTCAATTGAAATTTTTTTTTTACTGGTTTTGTGGTCCAGGGTCACAAATAAGAAATGACATTTTTGCATGACGAAAAGAACCCAGTTTTTAGGACTATAAAGAATGTGGAATAGATTGTTAAAAATACTCAAATACAATGATTGCATTAGATAAATGAGCATAAATTGAAGGCCATAAAAACACACACACACACACTGTTCAAAGGTTTGGGGTCAGTACAATTTTTTTATATAATAGAAGTCTCTTACGCTCACCAGGGCTGCATTTATGTGATGAAAAATGCAGTTAAAACAGTAATATTGTGAATTTTCTATTTTAGTAAGTTTTAAAAAAAATGTAATTTATTCCTGTGATGCAAAGCTGAATTTTCAGCATCATTACTCCAGTCTGCAGTGTCACACGATCCTTCAGAAATCATTATAAAATAACATTTAATTGAAATCAAAATCTTTTGTAACATTATGATCTTGATTATGAATTTAATGCATTCTTGCTGAATAAAAATTTAATTTCTGTTTAATTTCTTTAAAAAAAAACTCACCTCAAACTTTTAAATAGTAGTGTACTATACCAAATACACACACACACACACACACACACACACATTTGCAATCTTAAAAATTTAATTGTTTTTTACATTCTAGTAATTCCGGGGGGGGGAATTTTTTTCATTTATTTTTATGTCAATGGGAAAATGTGGTTAATTGTCATGAAAATAATGTAAGCATAAAATATGCTTCATAATCCAAAATATAGCTTCTGATTTATTTTCTGTTTGATTTCAGGGTTAAATGTGACCTGTAACATTTAAACCTGTTGATTTTTATGTTCAGCATTCAGGAGATAGTCTGTTAACTGAAACATTTAACTCTGTTCTTTTCTTCTATTTGTTTCCTCTGTTTTGTTGTAAATATGGTTTCTCTGAATGAGTGAGTCTGAGATGGGATGTGTGACTGGATAAACGCATGCATGCAGCGACTGGATGTGTTTCGTTTTCTGAGGGTGTGACGTGAGTAAAGTTGAGCTTCTGAATTGTATTTTATTTATACAAAATCTGTACAATTCTGTATCTCATTTATGTATATTATTTACCAGAGTTATTAATGTAAAAAAAATGTCTTCCCCCTTCCTCCCTCCATATTTTTGCACAGCAAAATTAATAGCATTGTTTACCCAGACGAAATGCGAGTAAGTAATGGATATGCATTTCTTCTGAAATGAAGCAAATTGTAATTTGGTTATATGGGTCACATGATTTAGTTTGCCTTCTTGTGGTTTACAGTAAAGCTTCCTGTAGATTCAGACTATTACCAGAGATCATGTGGCAGATGAATGTGACGGCATGTGCTGAGATGATGCTACAGTGTGTGTGTGTGTGTGTGTGTGTGAGAGAGAGAGAGTACAAGACTCTGTGTGTGTGTGTGTGTGTGTGTGTGTGTGAGAGAGAGAGAGAGTAAGACTCTGTGTGTGTGTGTGTGTGTGTGTGTGTGTGAGAGAGAGAGAGAGTACGAGACTGTGTGTGTGTTTGTGTTTGTGTGTGAGAGAGAAAGAGTATGAGACTGTGTGTGTGTGTGTGTATGTGTGTGTCTGTTTGTGTGTGAGAGAGAGAGTATGAGACTGTGTGTGTGTGTGTGTTTGTGTGTGAGAGAGAGAGTACGAGACTCTGTGTGTGTGTGTGTGTGTGTGTGTGTGAGAGAGAGGGAGAGACTGTGTGTGTGTGTGAGAGAGAGTACGAGACTGTGTGTGTGTGTGAGAGAGAGTACGAGACTGTGTGTGTGTGTGAGAGAGAGTACGAGACTGTGTGTGTGTGTGAGAGAGAGTATTTTAATATAATTAATCATATTCAGAATAGAATCAGCATAAATCTGTTTATTGTGATTATTAAATTCATTCAGTTAAAAATGGATTTAGTGATGATAACTATATAAACCTGGTTATTTAAAACACATTCAGTTTATTAGTACCATTACAGTAATCTCAACTGTTTGATTTATGTGCAACACACGTTTTGTATGCCTTTTAATTTAATTGTAATTCAACATTCACATATTTTAGAGTGAGCGCGGCCATTTGTAACGCGAATGTACGAGGCTTCCGGTGGCATTCGCTTCCGGTCGTTTTAGCAGTACAGAAACAATCTGCTCGAAATGGCAAACAGGTATTTGATATCATATTATTTTAGTTAACTGACGTAATCATGAACACACCGCAATGCAAATAGTTTTAGCGTTTTCCACACTTTGTTTTTCTTCTTCTTTTTGTTTACCTGGTTCCTTACACTCCTGTCCTCATCGTACAGTATCTATCAACAGAAATATGAGACAAAATTGTCTAATATAAGTGTACGGTTGCTTCTTAGGAAGTTATTGTGTTCTTTAGTTTTAGTTTAAGACTAGTCTATCATATATATGTTGTGTTTATGAGAGGTATTGTAGCAGTTTGAGGCCTGCCAGAACAAAACTTTAACAGATTAAAAACAGCACTAACAAAAACCT